CCCCAAAACCCCAAAACCCCAAAACCCCAAAACCCCAAACCCCAAAACCCCAAAACCCCAAAACCCCGGATATGTGCTTCTAATTTGAAATGCTCCAATTATATAATTATTAAATAAAATTTTTAACTAAATGTCCAAGGAGGTTTCAAATTACTACTATCCCGAACAGAAGGCAGCGCTGAAGTTCTGTTTTATTGATATTTCCATTCTTGATGAGCCAATAGACCACGAAGAAGACCCTCAAACTCAGAGAACAGATGATATCCCTTATCGAATAATCGATGGGCAAACCCTGAATACAAAGTTCATAAAGGGACTTCAAGAGTTCGAGGTGGATGCACTGACAATTACTGATTGACTAAGGATCTTGATACAGCAGCCAGTGCGGATTCCCTCTCCTCTTTTGAAGAAAAAACCCAGCCCAGATAAAATAGCACCTAAGTTCCTGATCAGAAGCTAGCCCTGATTGTAATTGCGATTGAAAGATGCAGAGAATGTTTGAGTTGCATATAGACTTGCCTCTCATGGGATGCAGTATAGTGAGCCTTCTTATCGAAGGACAAACTCAGAGGTATTTGTCTAGTACACTTCCAGGATGATCAAATATTTTGGAGAGCTATTGTACAAGGACTATGAAGGAGCTATCTTGATTATTGGTAACTCTCCTATCCATCTAAGTAAAACTATGCTAAATTACCTAAGAAGTTGAGGCATTGGAGTTGTATTTTTCCTCAATACTCACCTGAGTACTCTCCAATTGAATGTACTTTGCCTAAGTCAAGGAGCACATCTCCTCAAAGTATACTAAGTCAGGATTCAAACTTCCAGAGAAGGATGGTATCCGTCTCATAATCGAAGCAATGAGACGAGTGGATGTTGTAAGAATTACCAAACTCTGAATGAAGCTATTAGACACTCTATTAACATTTCAACTTCCCATTAAAGCCAATCCAAATTCCACTTCCAGAACGAATTTTTTACCGATTCGAAATTCCAAGATATCTCCAGCTCTCCCTCTACCACCCCACAATCCCTAAATCACCTTAACTCTCATTTAAACCCTTCCTAGCTCCCCACAAGCAAAAAAAAACTAATTACAAAAAAAAACTCCCCTCCAATTTTCGCTCAAATATTGGGGTTTTGGGGTTTTGGGGTTTTGGGGTTTTGGGG